CTGCTGAATGGTTGCGGAATCCTACCAGTTAGTCCATTGGTGGGCAGCTGATCTCCTCATAATCCTGGTGCATGCTTTCGCAGCCATCCTCAGTAAAACTACCAAGAAAGGGACACTTACGCTTGGTGGTGCACCCGTTCGATAGCTATGGTTGGTGAACATAACTGCAATAACTACTTGTATGGTTTTTGTGGGTGATATATATATATATACATATGTAACTATGGTTGGTTAATGGGGTTTATATAAACCAATTTACAACTGGGGGGGGGGGCACGACCTTGTATGGCTTAAAGAAAATACATCTGGCTCTATTCCAATCTGGCCAAAAATATGGCATCATCGCCGTATGGCTGAAATAAATCAACAAATCTCGCCCATCTTCCGATGATTCGACATCCACTGGTTTTCCTGGTTCGAATTTGCATCGGATCCAAGATCCGGATCTGGTGTGTTTTTTGAATATTATGATGTATACTAAAATGTATATTGAGTATCCATGAGGGTATCATACTATCCAGTAGGAGAATCAGTTGTATACAACATATATATATATAACTGATAGTATACAATATATATATATGCCTGGAAAACAGTATACTGAGAGTAACAAAAAGTACAATATACAGTATAACTGGATTCTTGGAAACTTATCTAACCTGGGTCTGCAATCCTCGCTAGGCGACGACAGTCCTGGAGTCGCCGACGGGAAGCTGTGAGCTGCTGCTGCGGCTTCAATCGATTCATCAGGCCTGGCTCTCAGCCATGGATCACTATAGATACCCTCTGGTAAACTAACATAACTATGGAAAATCACCATTTTTCATAGGTAAACTATGGAAAATCACCATTTTTCATAGGTAAACTATGGAAAATCACCATTTTTCATAGGTAAACTATGGAAAATCACCATTTTTAATGGGAAAACTCACTTTTTTTTGGCCATGTTCAACTGTTAAATTACCTATGGATAACTATGGAATATATGGCCCATTTTTGGTTGATTTACCATATTCACCTGGAGTTTACTGGAGGCCATGATGATAATCTATATTTAAAAAAATCTATACTCTCGAAGTGTAACTGGGGTAAACACAACGCAGTTATCACTTGGTGAAGTGATTATGGCTATGTCCAGGTACCATCCAGTGATCGACAAAAACACATCATCATTTGGAGCCATTTGGCGTGTTTGTGTTCACCCTATTTCAACAAGAACAACCCATAACAACCATATGTTCTGTCAATGCTAGGATATCTGTTGATATCTGTCACTATTTTCTGTCTGATATCTAAAATCACCAGATATCCTCACTATATTTAGAACTTGGGGATCTCTGGGGATTTTCGTGAACTTTACCTGTGCCAGGATTCCTCCAGTTCTTTGCTGCTCAGTTGATGTTGGTGGGGGAGCTTCCCCAGTGGCAACGTTGGTTTCTAGCCAGGTGAGTTCTATGGTTTATAGATGGCGTGTATGAAGTATTTATACGTTTTTGGTAAATATAGCGTGATGTAGTTAATGGATTATGATAGTACCACCAAAAAAGATCGACGAGTAAATGAACACTATTTTAGAGGGAGTATACCGTTCTATCTTTTTTCAGTCAAACGTACAACTGGTGCGCACCACCTTCTAGGTAGCTATGTTGGTTTCTAACTATTATGGATGTGTCTGAAAATGGGGGATACTACAAAATTGCCATGATTCAATGGGGAAAATGATGACCAACCATGAAATTTTTGGGTATCATGATTTCAGACATATATGTATATATATATATATTATATATAGCTGGAATTTATGATGGATATATCTGTAGGTAAGTGGGTTTAGAAAGAAATTGATATCTGGCGGGGCCCTTCCAGTCACCATTATGATCATCCAAGGTACATCGCGCAAGCCCTAAATAGATAGGTTTCCGTGGGAAACTCGTTGGAAACTGGAAATTCTGGGGAAAACATCAGAATGTCACTGGTTGGTAGTTTCAAACCATAGATCATTGTGGGGAAAGCATACAAAGTAATGTGGTAAACCTACAAAACAAAACCATCCCCCAAATCACCATGTTTATCTGGTTGGTGGTTTCAAACATGGCTTTTATTTTCCATGATATATGGGATGTTATCCTTCCCATTGACTAATATTTTTCAAGATGCTTAAAACCACCAACCAGATAAGTACCTTTGGTTATCCCCATTTCCCTCGATGATTGTCCCAGCGAATGGGAAGCCTGGGAAGGTTTCATGCCAGGGCTGGCTACCTTTGATCCAACAATGTTTATATAATACAAGCATATGATTGAAAGAAGCCATGATCAATGCTCAAAAGAACTGCTCACCATACTGTGGATGGTTGCGAAATCCTGCACCACCAAAAGGATGGTTGAAACCCTAGAAATAATGGGATGTTTACCACCGTTTTCAACTGGTGCAAGATTTCGCAACCATCCACAGTGGCCTCTGGTAAACTAACATAACTATGGAAAATCACAATTTTTAATGGGAAAACCCACTATAAATGGCCATTTTCCATAGCAAACTGTTAGTTTACCAGAGGCTATATCATATTATATAAATCCCATTAAACCACATTAAACCACCATAAAATCCCATTAAACCACATTAAACCACCATAAAATCCCATTAAACCACATTAAACCACCATAAAATCCCATTAAACCACATTAAACCACCATAAAAATCCCATTAAATCCTATTAAATCCCATTAAATCCACCATAAAATCCCATAAAATCCCATTAAAATCCCATGAAACACCGTTGGATGAGAGACCTCCACTGGGGGACCCCTCTCCGCCTGAGGGGATACGCGGCGTCACGCTCGGCCCTGACGCTGGGGGAACAACTTGTGGAGGCCCAGCAGAGTGGTATTAATTGATGATCAACTCATATATATATATATATAGGTATATGTATATCTATGTGTATATATATATATATTTGTATTATATAAATATAATATCATATTATTGGTGCCGCCATTCTCGCCATTTTTTTCAGACCCAGATGTTGCCACATCAGCCTTTTTCAGCGCCGTGGATGCCGTCACAACGCGACCTCCGCGAGCTCCGCGAGCTCCTTGGGTCCGGCCATGGGACGAGTCCATCCATGGATTGATGATTGGGCGCCTTGGACCGGGCTGTGGCACTGGGTGTTTCACGGGTGTTTCACGGGTCAAAGGAGAAGCTTTATCAAGCCAGGTCGGTTGATCTAAGTTGGTTCATTTGGGTTAATTAACTATAGTAACTTATTAAAGCCATTGTAAACCCATTGTAAACCAATGAAGCCTAGAGTGACTATAGTGTTATTTATTATCATAAACCCTTTGTAAACCCCGCGATAAGTGTAATTTGACCTAAGGGTTTACAATGGGTAACTCTGGTTGGAGGTGCCAAAGCGGTATGTTCCCCAAGGGTGAGCCAAGGACCTACTAAAGAGTTTCCCAACTGTATGATAGCAGTGATTAACACCAATTATACATATTTCTTTAATTTTGTATATATATAATATACAATATCTATGTACATAAGAATAGAGTTAAATTATTTTCACACCTGCTGGAGGTTTGCCATGGCCGACGAAAAATCTCTTCAGATGCCCCACGTTGAACACTTAGGTGTTCAGGTGGTGCCCCTTGAGAAATGCTATAGAGGGAGGGCTCAATCTTTTCGGATCCGTTAAAACGGGCTGTTTCTATCGTAGGTCCGTTCATAGCCTGCTTTTGAGCCATACCCATATGATTGGAGTTTGGGACGATTGATGCCTATATTACATATACCCTCTGGTTATGACTAACATAGCCATGGGAAATGGCCCATTTATAGATGGTTTACCTATTAATAGCATGGTGATTTTCCATGGCTATGTTAAATAACCAGAGGGTACATATAGAGGATAGAATTAGGGTTGTAACCCACGTATGATCACGTGCAGCCATTCACCCTTAACCGCCTCCCATCATCTTGGCTCCAGTGACTTTTATAGACGTCCACGGTAGCGCACGGCGAGGCAAATTTCCCGCGTCAAAAGAAGGACCTGTTTAACTGTTTTTTTGGTGGCCGGTTTTGCGAGGGCTGAAATGGTTGAGGCTCATTGTTGTTCAACAAAAATAGCGGTGATGTTTATGTTTCAGGGAAAAACGCTGGGAACCCGCATATTAGTGATGCTGTGTTTCCAAAGTTGTTGACTTTTTCACTGGACAAAAAGTATCCAAGGAATCATGATTAAATGGAATTGTGCGACTATCTCTTGTTCTGCAGTGGTGTTCCGAGGGATTTAAAGGGTTTCTCCAATCGCTAGTCTACTTTTTTGGAGAACATCCTGGTGACCCTATGGTGAAAACGATGGTAGAACCATAGGGAATGGTGCAAAAACCATATGGAAACCATAGGGAAAAGTTGAAAACAAAATAGGAAAAACATAGCAAAGCCTCTGAAAAATGATAGGAACACCATAGAAAAGCCATAAGAAAGCCATAGGACAACCTCGGGAAAACCTGAAGAAAACCCTATTGAGGAAACCATGTGGAGGAAACCATGTGGACAACCCTATTGTTTAGCCAGTGCACGACCTCAGGTGGATAACAAAAATGCCCCAACATCTGCAATGATGGGCTACGGTCCAAAAAAGGAGGCTGCCACATGAGGGGTCACCCCAGTTGCAGATCTTCGCAATTACGAACTAAGATAATTCAGCGAGGAGGGTCGGTTTTCCTATGTGGTTTCCTGAGGTTTTCCTCAGGTGTTCCCGAGGTTGTCCTATGGCTTTCTTATGGTTTTTCTATGGTGTTCCTATCATTTTTCAGAGGCTTTGCTATGTTTTTCCTATTTTGTTTTCAACTTTTCCCTATGGTTTCCATATGGTTTTTGCACCATTCCCTATGGTTCTACCATCGTTTTCACCATAGGGTCACCAGGATCACAATGAAAAACCATCGTTCCCCAGCATTTCCCCAGCATTTTTCCATGAGTTGGTCACCAGGATGATGTCCAAGCGCATTTTGCCCGTGGCTTTGTTGGTGCTGGCCCTCCGTCAGCTCACGACCTTTGTGCCATCCCCAAGCAACGTGCCACGTGTGCAGCCGCAGATGCGACAGGCAGAGGTGCGGCTGGTTGGTCAACCCCAACATGATGCTGAAGAACTTCGATTTATATCGATCTACCCTCTGGTAATTTAACAGTTTGCTATTGAAAATGGCCATAGAATGCCATAGAAATAGTGAGTTTTCCCATTAAAAATGGTGATTTTCCATAGTTATGTATAGTTATGTTAGTTTACCAGAGGGTATCATTATTGAATAGTTGGATTGTACATGATTGTACGCATTTTTTTTGGGGCGGAGGGTGATATACTATATAAGACTATATATAGATCTATATAGTATAGTTATGTATAGTTGTTCTTACTTATGACCCTTGATATGATTGACAGAAATTGGGATTGCATCAACAAAGATGTGCTGCAACATGTCAAAACTATGGATTTACCAAAGGTTTTCCCAATTGTTGTTCCAAGTCTTCTGTGTTTCCTCAGATTTTTAAGTTTTCACCATAGGTTCACCATTTGTTCACCGGGTCTTCTTCGATCTTGCTCAGTTTTCCACGATCTTGCTCAGTTTTCCACCATTTTTCCAGCATGTTCTACTATTTTTCCCTTCCCACCATTTTCCTACCATTTTCCCACCATTTTCCCCCAAGTTTTGCCCTGTTTTTGGCCTTGACCTCCCCCGCAGGTGGCCCTGGTCTCCACAGGCCTCGCGATGACCAACGCCCAAGCGGCGCTGGCCACGTGGGGCGAGGGCAGCGAACCGGGGCAGAACATCGACCCGGACTCCACGGAGTACTACAACCGTCACTGGGTGACCATAGGAGAAGCCATTGGATTTATGAGGTCTACTATTGTATCATATATATCATTGAATTATAGTATTGTACTATATATAAATATAAATATATATATATATATTAATATTGTACTATATTGTAGATTATAGTATTGGTATTATTAATAGTGTATCATATATCATTGTAGTAGACCATTGTATCTATGATATACTATATTGTATAATATTGTAATTACCATTGTACGATTGTATACTATATTACTATATTGTACTTTATCATTATAAGTAATACGACAACCGTTACTGGCAGATTTCTGATGAATTGATGATGGTTAGTGGCGATGATTATTTTTAAGATAGTGATATATATATATATATATTATATATATATTGATAAACCGTCACTGGGTGATGCAATAGGAGGACCATAGGAGACACTGTCCCATTGGATTTATGATATATTTTATTGTACTATAATATGTTCATTGTACATATGTACCTCATTCTACTATGATATTCTTGTACCATGTTGTACTATAAGATTATAATTATAGTACTACAACCGTCACTGGGTGATGCCAGGGAGACACTGCCATGGCTGGTTCTGATAATCCCAAAGAGGGTATAGTTGGTGAAAGACTTATGATGAATGATGATGGTTATTGGGATGATTATAGTTAAGATAGTTAAGATATAAAACTATTGATAAACCCAATGCAAAGTTGTCACCATCCCCGATCCACCAACCATGGCTGGTTATGATAAATAAACATTATCCCAGTGCAAACGGGGCCCGATTAACCATACTAACCTCTATCGGGGATGGTCATGATTGGGTTTACCACTTTTATTTTCTGATATATAATGGATTTATCATATGTTCTACTATTGTATCATTGTACTATCTATATCATTATCCAATATTATATAGTCATACTACAACCGTCACTGGCTGGAGACAAAGTCATGGGATGTTTTTGTTGTTGTTGTTGTTGCTGATTGATGGGACAATTATAAACATATCAAATAAGAACGGTAATTATAATGCGTATGTATATATTTTACAAACACCAACTAGCTAATAGAATCATATGGTTTGATTTTGGCGTTCCCCGTTTGAAGAACCCCCCCGATGTTGCCATGGGGTATGGGAATCCTTGTAGGTGCCTAGGGTAATTTTCGGGAAGTCACCACGACTTGGAAATGCAGTTCCAGTTTTAAGTGGATATATAACTATAAGTGGATATATATCCCAACTTATGGGTTAACTTATATCCCAACTATATTATGCCATAATAAGTTGGCATAACCTTGTAACTATGGCATTTTTTTCATCCCATAAGTTTTCTGGATAACCTATAACTATGGGGTTAATCTCCCAACTTATGGGGATTATTTCACCATGGTTCCCTGAAGTTGAAAAAGTCAAGTTCCAAACCTTCACAAAAAAAAACTGGTTGGTGGTTTGGAACATGACTTTTATGACTTTCCATTCAGTTGAGAATGTCATAACCCCAACTGACTTTCACTCCATCATTTTGCGGAGGGGTAGGCTCAACCACCAACCAGAAAAAAACCATGGCGAAATCCATGGGAATTTCCCAGGATGACCCGAGGTGAATGTTTCACATGAAAGGAAATTCAATTCTTCAGCCATTCTTAAGCCATAAATCCATCAAGCACTATGCTATTAAGCCATTCTTAACCCATTATTAACCCATTATAAACCCAGAAATAATCATAGATCCATTAACCACTAGTAGCCTATTAACATCTATTAACCATTGTTAACCCTTGCCTTCAATCCTTCCCGAGGCAAAGTCTTGAACGCCACGGCCATTTGCCTCACCTTCGCCGTGTTTTTGTTCGGTTTGGTCGTGAGCCAGGCCCGAAAACTCGTGGAGAACAAGTGGCTGAACTGAGCGCCTCGACCAGGGATCAAAGAACATCACTTGACAGCACAAGGTATTGAAGGTCTTGAGTTTAGGTGTTTTATCTATGTAAACAAATGTGTATATATATATATTATGTTTTTTTTCTCTTTTCGGATATTATATATATAGTTCTACCATTGCTTGAAGTCTTTGGTTGTGGCGTATGGGATATATTTTGGCATGGGAATATCTCCAAATATTTTTTTCGAGCAAACTTGGCGAAACAATACAGGTCCAAATCTGGTTGGTAGTTTTAACACGTTTCAAGTTTCAAAAATGTTGTCAATGGGAATTTCAGGATCCTAAAATGGAGGTACGTTAGTACCATATAAGGCCATATTTTCTGGGGATATTCCCTGAAATTTAGGCCTGAAAAAATAGGCCTTATATATGGTAGGTACCTCCAATTTAGGTTCCTGAAATGACCATTGATAACATGTTGTCCTTTCATGAATCCGTGACTGATGATTTGCTGGCCTAGTCAGTGGTCCATCTGTTGCATCAGCTTTTAGCCTCGAACTTGTCTAACTCAACAATCATCCCACTCAATAAGGCATTAGCTAAATCAGACATGGAAATTTCTCATTTATTGTAATTTACTTTTTTATTTATTTATTTAACTTCAAAAATGAGATCGTTTGAACGTTGGATACTTCAAAATCCAGTGGTTTATCATTGGTTTTCATTATTTAAATTCCTATTTTGGTTGGGTTTACTCCATTTTTTTTAACCCAAAGAGGTCGTTTCAACTACAGAAACTTGTCGCCGACCCAGGTCAACCGCGGACGTCCAGCTTTTTGATCAATGCGCACACCACGGTGAGATTACGATCGTGGTGTCATAAACCAAAACAGCGCAGAGAGAATAAAACACATGCGAAAATATGCGCTCTTGGTCAGGAAGGGTTGGAAACAAAAAAGACGTACAGAAGCACCCTGCAAAATGGAGTTGTTTGCTTTGAAGACTTCGGACTTTCTCATCATGTTTCTCCATGAAATTGCTATATCATGGGGCATCACGTTTTTTCAAAAAACTTTTGGACAGACTGACTCGGATGGGGAATGCTACACGACCGGGACCTCAGGTTAGATCATCATTTTCCCAATGACACAGAATTATTCAAGTTTACCGTGTAACCCATTTTCATCCCACTTGTCGATCAATTAAGAGATAATGCACATCCTCAGTTTCATGAGTTGGCCTGAAGATGTTGAAGCACCTCATTCCACCGATTCTTCCTTTGGAGGTTGCTGTCTCACGGTCTCCAAGCATCAACAATTTTCGTTGGTCTTCTTACTCTGGAAAGCTTACAACCTAATTCTGGTTGGTGGTTTGGAACATTTTTATTTTTTTCCCATGAATACTATAGTTATATCTACCATAAACCACAGAATTCAGCCACAAAAATAAGGCAACTGAACGCTATCTTGGGGGCCCCATCCTGTATGGTTTTCCGCGATCCCTGGTAGATCCATGGATCGGCCTGTGGTTGCCGAGGACGATGATGGCACGCCCAAAAAGCCCACCACGACAGAGCCATTGAGTTCCACAGCGGCAGCGGACATCGAACGGTTTTTTTTAAACCTCACAACCATATAAAGTGCAATATATATATATAACATTTATTTTATATATTACATAATATATATATATTGATGATTTTGGGGTTTGTCTGTAAATTGCATATGCCCTAGATTGGCCGTTTTTTGAGGGAACATCTATTGGGTTTTCCGGCTCCATCCAGCTCCATTGGTTGGGCACAAGGTGGGCCCAGTGATGTTTGTCGGTTTAGGTGATTTAATGGGATTTAATAGTGGTTTAATAGTGGTTAATAGTGGTTCATAGTGGTTTAATGGTGGTTTAATAGTGGTTTAATAGTTGTTTAATGGTAAAACCTAGTGACTATGTACTGTATTGTTATACTTATACCTACCATGAATCATATTTAAGTTAGTTATAAGCCAACTTAGCTATCGCGCCCACTTTGTATTTGGAGTGGGTGGAATAGCCATGTTACAAGGGCACCCTCTGTGTCCGCTTCCATCCCATTGCAAGCATAAGATGTATCTCTTGTGGCACCGTTTGGGTATGGATGAAATGGGTGGCCCCCCAACATCCAACATGGATGCTTCAGTGCTGAAAACACATAGAAATTCAATCACACCCCCTACAACTCCCAAGAATTACCACCCAAAATAATAGATGGTTGATTTATGTCAATTTATTGGTTGACAAGATTATTAAGAAGCGCTGATCAATTAGTCTAAAAATATCTCAGGTCTTGGATTACCTCATTTTTTTTGGGTCTATTTCGGTTCCATTTTTATCCATCTTTCACAGGGTTGCTTCAACCCCGGTGAATCATGGCCTCTTTTGGGGTGCTATCTTTTTGGAAAAGGGCGCTGATTTCAGCTCTTGATTTCACCTCCATCCAATCTCCCCATAGTCCTGATTTTTGGATGGATCAATTTTTGGAACTAAAAATCAGAATTTTCCAATCTCCTCCCATTTTCCAGGAATCTTATTTTTTGGAAAATTCCTGATTTTTAGCTCTGGACTTCACCAGATTTCCCCCATAATCTGTCCCCAGGCTACAGTTTGGCCGAGAAATTCGCCATCGTTGGGGTTCTGGAGACCATTACCATTGGTTCCTTGCTGGTCTTCGTGAGCACCTTGATTGTCCCGGAATGCCGGCACCAGGGTGTGGACCTGGTTAAAATGGGATATTAATAGTGGTTAATAGTGGTTAATAGTGGTTAATAGTGGGATAATAGTGGGATACCATACAGTTCGCCTTGGAAAATCACCATGCTATTAATAGGTAAACCATCTATTTCTATGGGCCATCTATACCATGGCTATTGTTAGTCATAACCAGAGGGTAGATGAGACCTTACCAAACAGGACTGGAGAATCATCTTTGTGAATCATAGAAACTTATAGAAACATCTATATAATTAATATTCATTAGTATCTATCTATTTCATCGGATTTTCATCCAACATCTTTGTGACCGGTCACCGTTGACCGAGGACGGAGCAAGTTTCTTCAGCGAAAGGATCTGACTCCGAGGCAAGTGAACGCCACCCTCTTCGGAGCCTTCTTGTGCGCCACCCGCATGGCAGTTCTGCCATGGCAGTGCTGGTATGGAACACAAGAGAAATAATGATCATTTACCCTCTGGTTATTCAACATAGCCATGGGAAATGGACCATTATAGATGGTTTACCTATTAAACATGTTAAATAACCAGATGGTACCTCTGGGAACCAAAGATGGCAATGGAAGATCGTTTATACATGGGGTATTTCCCAGCTTTCTATGTTTGATTCCAGGAGGGTACATAGATTGGATCCCACATTATTATCCCAAATGAGTAGTGGGCAGTGACTTCCGGAGCAGGGAACGGTTTGAAACAAGTTCATGACAGTTTGGCTACTACGTGTGTACCATAGCTGATTCCACTGGTACCTTTGACCTTTGACCCTCAATACGAAATGGTACATACCATTCCTGGGATGCATATCCAAGTAACCATTGCGAGATTATATTTATCCGATTTCGGTCATGAACTATCACCACCAAACTAAGTTTGAGATAGTTTGGGCATGTTCTGAGATGTTTTCAATACAAATTTCACCAACAAAATTGGGGGATCAATTCATCTCCAAAATCGACAAGTTTCGACGAGGTTGGCACCGGTGTTTATTCTCATCCAGAAAGCATACTACGACACTCTCATTGAGTTCCGCGGGCGTCTCGGCAGTGGATGGGTTTCAGGGTGGATTGATGGGTGAATGATGCTGAAAAAATATAGTTTAGATATGTTTAGATGTGATCAAACTTGGTTAGCCAATTTTGCTCAAAATCAGGTCAGGGGCCTTTTTATGGCATTATCCGGGCTTATCCAGATAAAACACCTTCACATCTGGATAACCCTCCCAGTTGTTGTTGGTTTCCTGATATTTTTTCGCACCTAAAAGATGTCTCATAGCTGGATATAGTACTGGTGGATTGGTACAGTTTTCAGTACACCAAACAGTTTTGCTTCAAATGTGAAGCTCTGAATTGGGAATAATATGGAATAATATGGGATAATTATAAGATTTATAAGTTCTATGTGACAATCATATCCAGCTCAAGATGGATTTTCTGCAGGGCATCCGTTGTGTTTGTACTCAGTTTTCGCCATGGCTGTTGATCACTTTTTCACAATGGATCTGAATCCAAGTGGCGCTGGAAGCGTTTTCCATCGAATTCCTAGGTCAACGACTTGGACGATCTGGGGCATAGATATGTTTTTTTCCCATTGGTTGGTTGATGAAAAAAGAGGGGTTTGAGTTTGTTTACCGAAAAAACAACAGGTTTCCATGATGATAGATGGGATTAACCAGCTCCCGGCCCCGGTAAATTCTTACCAAAAGGACATCAAATTGCTATGAAATAGATGAGATCCGAACAGGACTGGAGAATCATTTTTGTGAATCTTAACTTGGGACTTGGGGTGGATAATTTCCAAGCAGTAACCAGCACCAGACACACCTTGGATCGAAAATTATGCTCGCTTTTCTAAGGTTGAAACCCGAGCAACACAGCATTGGGAGCTATTTGAACCTGTCCTTGCTGTCTCCCACGAAGTTCCTTGGTTCCTGGGGGAGATACCTATCCGGATCCATCTGGTAATCTCACATAATCTCACATAGCCATGGAACATCTCCATTCTGAAGAGGTGAAACATGTACACATTGGGCCATGTTCCATAGCTGTGTTGGTTTAGTGGAAGTTAGCCGAGATTCAGATAATGAACATTGGCTACCAAGGTGGACAATCGGATGGGGTGAACATGGCTCACATGAGAACGGCGGTTTCAGCAGGTTTAATTTGGCCACGGTTTTGAGCAAGCTTCACTTATTGAACAGCAATATTGTTCACGCTGATTGCGTGACTGGGACAAGGTCTCTGGTGCAAGAATAAGCGGGCCAGGTGCGGGACTTTGGTTCTGATTCAAAAAATATGGTTCCAATTTTGAAACCACTTGTTTTTTCTTGGTGGTGACTTCCAGAATATATAGATGGTTTGAGAAGTACCGAAATCGCCAAACAAAGGGAGGTCTGCCGTTACTGGACTCGGTTTTGTCTTGTTGTTGTTATCTGGTTGGTGGTTTGGAACATGAATTTTAATTTTCCATGTATTGGGAATGTCATCATCCCAACTGACGAACTCATATTTTTCAGAGGGGTAGGTCAACCACCAACCAGTTGATATATGGGATAATCTTGTCCATTGACGAACTCCATCATTTTTCAAGATGGGTAGGTTGAAACCACCAAGCAGTTATTTTTTACCTATTAAAACAGGTTCTTTTCCACAGCGAACTCAGCTATTTTTCAAGATGGTAGGTCAACCACCAACCAGTTGATATTTGTTCCACTTCAACATCCTGGATGTCATCATTCTGGGTGTTTTCGCTATGAATGAGGCCATGGCAGCTCTAGTGGAACTAGAGCTGCCATGCAGGTATGTTTCTCACTATACATACATATAATATACACATTATATATAATATAATATGCATAATATTTATATATATATATACTATATAAATATATTATTGTATAATATACATCATATGACATGCATTATATTTTATTTTATATACATACTATTATATATACATGCTGTGCCTGACAGAGTGTCTATTGATTTTGGGCATTCTCCATTTCTCATTTTATGTTTGGCCCAGGTTTCACTGGGACTATGAGCAACACACCAATCCTGACGCGAAAGTGAACCCAACGCTCCATGACTCGTGGAAATGGCACGATGATGAGTAGCAGCCAAAAAGCTGGAGTTTTCACCCCAGTGTGAATTAGTTCCATGTCAAATCGGCCAGTGTTTGGGAAATCTCAGAAATCACGAGACTTGACCATCGCTTGGCACTGGGGGATTCTTTGGGGTTGCTCGACTTCCGGGGCGTTGCTGTCCGTTTGACAGCCACCGCCGGTCTGGGATGCATCGGGCCAAAGAGTCCGATGAGCGAGAGGTGATAAATCTGACCAATTGAGCCATCAAAAATGGGTAAAACATGGGTAAAACACCAGAATTATATGGTGGAACTCGCAATTCTGAATGTGGTTGAGGTAATTTACCTCAATTACAAGAAGAATCACAGAATGGACTAACATAGCCATGGAAAATCACAATTTTTAATAGGTAAACCATCTATAAATGGGCCATCTATTCCATGGCTATGTTAAATTACCAGAGGGTACATTCACACAGTCCCCTTCCACTGGGTTTAGTATGGAGGTCCATGGGGGGGGGGAGCGGGAAAACTATGTTGTATCATGTAGTTTTCCACTTTTCGTTGGTGGGGTTCAAACTTGAGGAAACCAAGCTTCCCTGTGTTTTTTGGGAATATACTAGTACTAAGTTATTGAGTTTCTCTCCAGATAAGATTTCTCTTGTCCAATGATTGTGGATGGCATGAAGAAGTCAGTGTGGATGGTTCAGTTGCTTGGCGGCTGGATTCCCATGGTCTTTCTTGTCATATTCCCATTGAAGTACCCGTTCTTGCAACTTGATTCTTGTAGAACATATCCTCGTACTGAGCTGCATCGTATTTAAGCCTAAATTACACAATAGTCAGATGAATTCAGAGATTGATCCTGTAGCGTACATATGTTTTGCACCCAACAACCAAGCAGTTTGCCACCTCGCAGTCCAAGACATAGTTCAAGGGCACAACTAAAGCAAATCTACTGTAGCATACAGCAACATTTATCGACCCATTTATTGGCCGATTTTTCTTCCTCAAATCCCCATTTTTGCTCCTTGTTTGTTTAGGGGTTAAAGCCTCCAATGCCATCTTGGGAGGGGCATGAATATCATTTACCACGACAAACCAAAAGAAACTAGGATTGCGAACATGGCTTTGGATCAAAGCAGCTTGAAATACTGGTGGCATTTTAGCTAGGATTATCCCATTCGATTACTGGTTATAGGATTATCCATGATTATCCCATCCTGTAAATAATTAGAACATGGGATTTCTTCCATCCCAGCAGGTGGGAGATCAAGCCTACCGAGTTGAGGTCACGGATAGTCACGGATAGTCACGGGGTCAGGTGACAACGGTACAACGGTGTTCGGAAGGTAACCGAAGATGTGACAACGGTTGGTGGTTTCCGAAGTCATGGGGGTACCCCAAAAACAGATGCTTTCTTTCATGGAAAATCCATCCATAAATGGATGATAGTTGGGGGTGCCTTTATTTTAGGAAATATGGAGGTAATAACTCTAATATTATATATATATATGTACATATATATATATGTATATATTTACATGAAAAGCCAAGAAGGTATACCAAATGATTCCATTTTTCATGAGTTTTTTTGACTTAAGTCAGTTCTTGGATTACCACAAAAAAAATGGGCTTTTCAGTGGTTCAAGCATCGTGAAGTGAATATATATAGCTTATATATCAAGACCAAATACCACCTGTGATTGCGAGATCAATTCATGGGACCTACATTCCACCAGGGATCTCCGGGGACGGGATGAACAAATGTGCTTCAACCGGCTGGCTACCTGTAGAATGGATGTGATCCAAGAGTTATGGCATGTGATGACGTAACTGAGCTGATAGCCAAGATTATTTGATTCAGTTGGGATATCTATATATCTATATCTATATATATATATTCTTGGATATCTATTTTTTTAATATTTATAGATATATATATATATATATATTGATATATTGATATATTATAGCTATAGATATAGAATGACGGGATATGTTGGGATGTACAACCAGCCAACTCAAAATGTTGTTCAGCGACGAGCATGTCGAAACATGCAGTTGGAGTACACGCTGGCCAGTGTTTTTTTCATGACTTGATGGATGGTGCCTTGACGAATTTGTCCCTCGTTCTCTTTAGTGATCCCAAATTGTTGTTGCTTGCTGCTTGCATTCCAAGACCCAGATTATTCATGTATAGTTGAAAAAACATGCCGTATCTACATGTATCTACTATGGGATAGCATGGATTATACATTTTACTGTTGAATCAAACATGGCAATGATATTTTCCATGATTTCCCCCTTTTTCCATAGCACCAATTCTGTTGGTTAACCACCAGATCCATTGATCACAAATTGTGTCAGTTCATTCTCCAGTTCTAGGTGGTTTGTTATATCCCCATTCTCCCACTTCAAGGATGTTACTACCCAGTGTTTATATACTCACTGGGGAATAATAAATTTTAATATTGTTATTACCCTCTGGTAAACTAACATAACTATGGAAAATCACCATTTCAAATGGGAAAACTCACTATAAATTGCCATGTTCAATAGCTATGTTAGTTTACCAGAGGGTACCCACTTCACTGTGGGGGTGGCGAATACCCCCACTTCCCGGTTGTGTCCCTTCCAGGTTTCGAGTTGCGTGTGTCGCGTGAAGCGTTTCGGTAGGGGGCACCCAGCGTGTAGCGGAGTAAACCCCTGGGAGAGAAGACCACACGACGCGTTGCTGCTGGATCTATATAAATAGATATAATATGCGTTGTACTGCTATGTATATATATATTTACATAATCATATATGGTTATATATTTTGAAAAGATGACTTGTGTTTTCCTTAAGTATCCTTAAGTCCTTATTTTTCTTGGCTAGATTCATATTTGTGTTGGTGAACTCGCCGTTTGCGTTCACCAATCATAGATGACATCCATCAGTTGACTATCCCGGTCTCATGAGAACAAGCTCATCATTGATGGTAAGGATCCAGGGTCCTCAATCCAAAGATGTTTCACAAAGCATTTCACACACCTATAGATTTCCCTTGATTTCAGAACTATCAAATTGTCCCAGATCAAAAATTCACGATGAATTTTTGAGGATCTGCGGCGCCGGCGGGACAATACAACATGGATGGGTTGCTACTAGGTGATGCTTAAGCTTGTTGGCTAAGTTGGTTTCTAAGATTTGACAATCACCAGGGTTTTTTTTGGTCAACATCTTGAACTGGGTATGGATCAATACCTATTAATACCATTTTTAGGGGGTTATTCACATCCATGAATCCCAGCTATTTTGATGTGAACTACAGGGGTACTATTGGTTTTGACACACTGCCAACTAGTAAATCCCTAAACCCTCTTGTATTTTGCACATCCCCGAGGCCCGCCCCGGTTTTCCATGGTGGATGTAGGTCATCCTTTGCATCCACAGGTTTGGCTCTCCAATGGGTAGCTGAAGACAGGCATTTTTGGGCCATGGGTGGCTTGTAATTCTTGGGTGATACAGTGGATGGAAGAAATCCTGCACCAGTTGATAGATGGTTTATCCCATTATAGGGTTTCAACCATCCATGGTGGTGCAGGATTTCGCAACCATCCACAGTATGGCATATGCTTAGGATTTCGCATCCTGATGGCCGAATTGGGTGTTGCCACTTTGGATTGGTGTCACATTGGGTAAACCAGCCGGACACATATCCTCTGGTTATGTCAAAATAGCTATTGAACATGGCCCAGTCGAAATAATGGATTTACCCATTGAACATGGTGATTTTCCATAGTATATCTGGTTGGATGTTTGGAACATTTTAATACATTTTATATTTTTTCCATATATAGGGAACAATAGTCCCATTTGACGAACTCCATCATTTTTCAGAGGGGTAGGCTCAACCACCAGATATGTAAATTTGGCTTGAAAATCACCGCTTAAAATCAGAACGAACTTTCCATGGAAGTTCTCAGCTTGCCATGTTTGATGACACTGGGTACAATACAATTTGACCCAATTTCTGCCATAGCTCATGTATTGTAAAAACCCATTGAAAATGGTGATGAAATATGTCTGTAAATCCACTATTTCTATTTTCATGTCTGTAAAAAGCCATAATAAGTTGATTGCTTGTGTCGGCATATCGCCTGAATTGATTGGCTTACCCCTTGAGAATCAGTGCAGCATCTTGGAAACTTGAGGCTTTAAACATCTCACCATTTGAATCTCAATGTTTTGTATATTGCTGATATCAAAGCCACATGGATTTGGGGTGTAATCTTTCAGATTCACAAATTTCATGATTTTTCCAAGAGCCCATGGTTTCAGCATGTTTTCCATTCCTGCAGTGCTACGTCAAAGCACAGAACACCGGGTGTGTCCACAGAAATAGGTGGATTTCACCAACATCACTCCAGATTTGACCAGTATGATGTATGATCACAGTAACCCCAACAAAAATGTAACGACATGTGTATATATATATAATTATATATATATATGTCCACCATTTCAGTAGGAGTTTACTGCATCCTATCTTTTTAGAGCTTGCTACTGTATACATTAGCTGTGCCCCCTTGATTCGAGGCCCTAACGCGGCCCTAACGCTGGAGGAAAAAAAAAAGGTCTTCGTAGCTGCTGTGCCATTGATTCGAGGCTGTGCAAGTGGTTGGAGCTTTCAAAGGTACTAGTTACATCCAGTTACATCTAGTTACTAACAGTGGTTAATAATATGTTAATAATGGTGTAATAGTGATTAATAGTGATTAATATTGAATGGGATAGAACTGTTAATGTCAACCCTGGATTAATAAACCCCCTTTACGGCTGTTTAATTGGGAGGGTACCATAAAAAATTATCACATAATGACTATTGGAGGAGTACCCCCCCAATTAATAAACCATGTTTACTATTCCGGGATTGACATCTAGTTACTAGTTTCTTGTTGCTTGCCGTCCCAATTTTTGTCCTTATTGTTTGGGGTGAACATTGCTTGGTAGAAACATCTTTGTTCTTTCCATCCTGGTCTTGTGGAGATTGAACCAATCCTGACCACTAAGACTAATCACTGTTTGCAAATATGAGTTGCAACCTCCAGCCTTGATGTTTAGCAGAGTTCCCCCACTGAAAAATGTGGGTGAAACTTGGGTGCCCCTAATCAAGTTATTTCACCCTTTGCGATGGAAAATGGCCCATTTAAAGATGATTTATGATGATTTACATTTACCATCATTTACCTATTAAACATATATGTTAAATGGATTGAAATGCTCATTTTCCATGGCTACTGTTAAGTTATCAGATTGCTCATCCCATCAGTTTGCGAAATCTCTGGTGCGAGGAGCGAATTGTACAGGGCCAACCCTTTCAGTGAGGTCCTCAGGGGCAGGTTGACATTCCCATTGATGATGTTACCCACCTACCACAAATGTCGGTAACATCATCAATGGGAATAAACCATATATAATTGGGTTTACATACCCCATAATAAAATAACCCATGGATTTTTGTGGATGGTTTATTGATGTTTATTTAGCCAATTTATCATTGGCTTTCACACATGAAATTGAATGTTGACAATGTCGTGCCCCACAGGCCCATGCTATGTTGATTTACTAACCAGGCTAACTAAGGGGATTTCTGGTAGACATATCTAAAGTTCATCGAGGTGATATTTCAACCTGATTTCAGCATATTTCAATTATTAACTGCGGGGCATCACAGTGGAGGTCTTAACGGTGTTCGTTATCACCCTTCGAAACACCCTTTGTTGAGTTTTCGAACATCCCCATGTAGTCAACCATTTACATACAGGGAATACATGGCATGGTCTCTTGGATTTATCACACAGTTCTGAGAATCTAAGAAACCCATAATATGGTGTTTGCTATGATGGGTTTCCATGTACACAATTTCCACGATTTGGATACGTGTCAAAATCGGGTACTGTGCCCGAAAAAAAATGCTGGTGACTATCAAGAATGACCACCATAATCCACCATATATATGTGATGTTTTTGGGCCTCAAAAATTGATGCCATTTGTACAAGGTGGTGCCCGCAGTTATAATAAGCTGGCTTACAAAACCCGTTCATATCCATTAAAACTATATATATATATATATATACATATTGTATATATATACACATATATACTAGTATATATATACATATCATTAACTTATAGTATAGTTATATCTACAACAAACATCAACATACATCAACAAATCATAGACCTAGTCATAAACCAACTTAGCAAGTGAAACCCTTGTGGAATCACCCCCACTCTAAGGCTTCCCGACAGCACTTCGATGGCAGATGGGGCACCTAAAGGTCGAGGCGCCTGGTGCGAGGTGTTCCACTTTTTTTAGTGATTCAACAGGGGCTATGGCGATTCAGATGGAAAACAATGATTGAAATGGTGACTAAACACGTTCGCCCCAACCCGGACGTTGCTCCACACTTACAATCATCATCATCATCATCATCATCATCATGGTCATCATCGCATTAAAGTTCGCCACCCTCTCTGAACAGCATGTTGATTGGGGTAATCAAATCAACTATATCTCCATGGGACCAAAATTAGCCATCCTCTACGAACAATATGTTGAGTGGGGTAGTAACATCAACTTTATCTTCATAAGGGATCAAAATTCGCCAGCCCCTCGCCACCCCCTGAACTTTATTTTCATATCCACCTGAAGTCAGACGCGGCGCAACGTCAGGGTTCAACAGTGTAATTCTGCTCAGGCCGTGGCCGTGGCCGCAACGCGGCCGCGCGCGGCCGTGGGCGTGGGCGTGAGGCTCCAGGCAGATTGGGTTAACAGTTTTTGCTGGGATTCAATGAAATCAATTGATATTTAATGTGTAATATGTAACTTGTATGATTTGATGGGATATTTTATGGGACTAGCATAAATCACAACCATTCATTCTAGCAATATATATATTTGGTTGGTGGTTTCAAACATTTTTTCCATAGCCCTTGGATCGAGTACCTGCCAGCGGTGGGGCTGCGCTTGCGGAACCTCGATTGTTTCTGATCACCCTGTTTGTTTCTTTGCGATGGCGTTGTGGGGGACACCCGGACCACCGGTTCATTTTGGTTTTCATGAAGGAGTTGGAGTTGGGGACAAGATCGACATTGTGGCAACCATTGATTCTGTTGCTGGACCTGTGGCATTTGTTACCTTGTACCCTGGACGCCAACATGGCAGAATTGTTGGAATTCCTGACATCCCGGCAGAATGCTTCAGTGTCTCTGCGTTGCAAGCCAATGTGGTAGCCCTTGCGCCGTGCCCTACTTTTCAGGTGGATGACCCATCTGATTTGCTGTTTCATGGCAAGAGCAACATGGAGGACCACATGCAGTTGGTTGAACTCTGCGCTGGAATGGGTATTGGAACTATCGGTTTTGAAGCAGCTGGCATGACACCTGTCGCGGCTGTTGACTGGTCGAAGCCCATGACTGAGGCCTACCAGGCCATGCATCCGAACGTGCCAGTGATCCATGGAGATATCAACTGTACAGCCACCATCAAGCAGTTGTATAAAGCGCATCCGAGACCGGCAGTTGTCATGTGTGGTTTTTCATGTCAGCCCTTCTCAACAGGAGGGGCGCAGCGTGGAGCTGAAGACCAGCGATCCTCGACGCTAGCAGCAGCTCTGAGAATTGCATATGTACTGCGCAGCCGTGTAGTCATTCTTGAGTGTGTACAGGATGCATCGACAAATGCAATGGTTCGTCGCCAGGTAGAAGCGTTTAGAGATCAGTGTCAGTTTCACCTCTCCGAAGCCATCCTCCGCCTGGAAGACATTTGGGTTTCCAGACGGAGCCGGTGGTGGGCTGTTTTGTCCGTAGGTCTCCTTGGTCCGGTTTGCATCCGAGCATTCGACCCGCTGCCTGAACCTTCCATGCCGATGGATTTGCTGCCCGCACCCATGGCCATGTCTCCAGAACACTTGGCGCAGTTGGAATTGACAGGTGAAGAGCTGGAATTGTTTCTCAGCTATCAGCCACGCCTTTCCAAGATGTTCCTCAGTCGCTCAGGTAAAGCACCGACAGCTTTGCACTCATGGGGATCGCAAGTTACCAAGTGCGAGTGTTTGTGTAGGAGTTCAGGCTTCAGTCATGAAACTCTCATGTCAAGGGGATTGTATGGACTTCTTTTTCCAGTTGGTGGTGACCCCAACCCAGATCACCCAGATCTGATGCGTGTCCATCACCCGCACCCAACCGAGGTGGCAGTGCTGACAGGAGTGCCAGAAATGATCTGGCCAAGCAACCTCCGACTGTGCTTGGCCGGCCTTGGCCAACAAGCTTCTCCGTTGCATTCAGTGTGGGTTGGAGCAACTTTGCAACAACATGTTGAAAGCGTTTTCATGGGTCAGAGCAATCTTGTGCCTTTGGATTGTTTGGAAGATATCAGAGGGCGTGTTGCAGTCATTGCAGAACACTTGGACTTTGCCTACATTCCCAAAGAGCCTTTGCCAGAGCCTCCAGTTGAAACCAGCATGGACTTGCACCTGGATGACACGTCCCTGACACCATGGGTCCACTTTTCTCACCATGGAGGTCCCAATGAGGTTACTGTTGTCCACTCCGATGATTGTGTCCCTTTTGTCACTGCGCTGTCTGATCCTGGTACCACTGTTGGGTCGGTGGTCCAAGCTACTTGCAATGTGTTGGGGTACCCGATGTCGGATTGTAAAGTGGTTGACTGCAGTTCTGGCCTGACCCTTGCGCCAAATCATCTTGCCAGCGGCCTGTGCTTGTGGACTTCCTGTGAACCTGCGTCTGTCTCTGACCCTCATGAGGACACTGGAATCTCACCAACTGTGGAATGGCAAGCCGACGCATCTGACTGTCAACCTGCTTCTGGAGTTGTCCCACTCTGCACTGACCTTGTCACTGTCCGTTTGACTCCTGAACATGGTCCTGAGCTTTTGGTTGATATGGATTCCTCTCGCCTTCGGTTGATGGTCGAGCCCTCTGTGCCAGATGTGTCTTTTGTCACTGCCTTGCGCAAACAGCCGATGAACGCTGCAGTCAGGAAGCAAGTCCTTGCCAACCAAGGTACCCTGTGGGCTGATGACGAGTTATTGTGGCACATGGACCAATTGCTCCAAGCTGCACGAAAGCCCACGTGGGCAATTCTTGACCCGCTGCTGGCTGCCGAAGCTCTCAAGAGACCCAGCCACGGACTGATCTCACAATGGATTCAGACTTTGCCACAACGGCCCACGGCCATCATTGGTGTTGTCTGTGTCGACAATCACTGGATCCCGTTCCTTTGGACTTGGACTGTGCACTGTGTTATTGCGTCTTGTTGGGATTTGCCTGGCCCCCCTGCACCAGGTTTGTCTACCCTTCATCAAAGCATTGCCACTGCTGTTGGTTCTAAGTCTTGGACGGTGCATGCTGTGACCCGATCCTTTGCCATCACTGAGTACTGTGGATTGTGTGCCATTAGGTTCATTGATCACATGCTTCGTGGCAAGATGCTGCCCACGAATCTGGATGATGTCAAGCAGCTTCATGCCACTGCTCGGTCAATGTACGTCCAATTTTTGGAATCTTGTGCGTCAGTTAGCAGACCTTGGATTTGGGCCGCCGGTCTTGAACCCAAAGCATTTGATCGTCTCCAAGCGTTGCTCCTTGAACATGGGGTGGACCCTCTCCAACTCAAAAACAGGGCCAACCTTTTGATCCAGGCGATCGGTCTCCCCACGGTTCAGAATGCCCTGACCTCTGGTCAACCTTGGCGTTCCTTGAAATCCAGTGCTAACAAGTGTCGTCCTGTCTTTCAGCTTGTCCTTCCGGAAGAACTGGAGCAGGTTGTTCAAAAGAAAGCGGAGCAAGGTGGCATTCGAACCAAGCTGAAAAAGCAACAGAACCCGAGCAAGCCCATGGCCAAGCCTGAAGTGCCCAAGGCGCTTGACCCATCCAAGCTGGTCATTGATGGAGATACTTTCAACTTGCCTGATGGCACCTGCCTGGTGCAGCTGCAGATGAATGCAATTGGCCCATTGGCTCAAGGTGTCATTTTGACCACGCCAGATGAAGCCTCTGCTTACCTGAAGGCGGGACAGTTGGTGTCGAAAGGTGGTCTTGCTCTCCTTTTGATCAATGCGGATGAAGCTCAGCTTAGTACTACCCTGTCTTGGTCTTTCCTGCGTGCTGTCCTCAGGTGTCAAGCCAACAGTGAACCCATGATCGTGCCTGCGTACTTGGTCCAAATCGGACAAGTGGTGGTTGTTCCGAAGTCTGACCATGGCCCTTGTGATGTCCTCCATGCCCCTGCTGCGTGTTGCAAAATTGCAGTGTACCGCGACCTTGTTGAAGGTGATTGGACTCAGGTGATCAAAGCCCCGGTCAAGTTTGTCCTTGCCCATTTGACACCATTGCAAGTCTGCCGGCAGGGAACTCTGCCATCTCCCTGCTCTTGCCTGAAGTGGCACCCGGCTGATGATGCCGTTGTTGAAGACCCTGTCCTTGATGTCTGGCGCCGTCAATGGGTTTCCATGTCTTTCCGTCCTGTGTCCCCAGAGCAAGCCGATGTGTTCCTTTTCAACATGCGTTTCCTGGACTCCCTGTCTCACCGGGTTCTTTCTTGCAGCGGGCGCCATGGGATCTTCATTGAACCGAGGAGTTTGGACGCACGAGATCCCTTGCTCAGCTACCAAGTTTTGTGGCTTCCGAAGACGCCTTTGGAAGAGCTCCTCCGAGTCCAACAATGTACTCCCCAGGTCATAGGTCTTGCCAGACTTGGCAGCCGCCTCGGTGTCCGATCGAAAGTGGAGGACGCACCTGCACTTGCCAAACAACTGAAACCAGGGTCCATCTTCCTGGCGGCAGGGACGAAGGTGACGTACGAACTGGGTCCGCTGCCTTTTGGCATGGATAGGCTCACTGTTTCTCGCCTTTGCAGCCAGTGGGGGTGGCAGGCCAGGCCCCTGCATCCCAGCAGATCAGTGGACGGAGCGCTGGGCAACTTGTGGTTAGTCCAAGCATCCACACCGCCTCCTACAACGGTTGCACGATACCAAGGCGCGGAAGTGGTGATCACCAAAGTCCAAGACCGCCAAGACAGTGCTCCTGCAGGAAGCCCACCGTCTCAGGTTATTGGCAGCACCACCACTGTGCAATTGTGCACCAAGTCCACCACTGCACCAGCCACCGATCCATGGCTCCTCCATGATCCTTGGGGCTCTGGCCCGTCAGCTCCTGTGTCGGCGCCTGTTGACCATACTGCTGCCTTGCGTGACTTTGAAGCCAGACTGGAATCGAAACTCCTGGCCAAAATCCCAACTGACATGGATGTTGACTCACAAAGCCACACGGAGGCCAGATTTGCAGCCCTGGAGCACCAGGTCCAAAACCTGGTGATGAACCACCAGACCCTCGAAGCCAAGATTGATGAAAATGCGGTTCGTGCCGACAACCAACTGGCTGCCGTCCAAGCCCAGGTGTCACATCAACTTGACAGCCAAGGCCAGCACATGCAAGCCCTTTTTGCCTCCCAAATGCAGCAGATCGAAGCGCTCCTGTCGAAGAAACACAGGACAGAATGATGGTGTCGCCACGCCCCTGCTCCTTGCAGGGGTCGTGGCCCTGCATCTCAGTCATTGCTGGATTTCTGGCTTTGGATTTTGGCAATCTGCACTGGACTTTGCTTTGGATTTCCTGGACTGTTTGACAGGAGGCTCGGCTTTGGCTTTTGTGGCAGTGTTTGGTCCGTCTGTGCAGCTCACTCTGTGCTGGTGTTCCTGTTTCTCTGGATTGCGACCTGTGGTTTGGTCCTTTGGAA